TCTCACCAGTTTACAAAGGAGAAGGACTGAGAAAACTCAAGTAAACGAAATATTGTTTATGCAATTAGTATTTCTATCACGTTTCATTTCACTACCTACTAGTAAACTACAAAAAATATTATCTAAATTAAATATGAACCAACTGTTCAGCTAATGCATTTACATGAAAATATTTCAATATGAAATCACACATGGTACAAGAGCAAATGTATAAGGTATGATAGATTAAGCTATATATTATTGAAGTTTCAAGGGAACAATGAAATACTAAGTGTAAAAAAAAATCTTACATGCACTGTTATTTGAAAGCAGAAACTTTTGTTGTTGTTCTTACATAAGCATAGAGTCATTTGACTTCACACAAGATTCAAAGTTGCACTGGTAGAACTTAATGATTTCTTAGGTTTCATTATATCTTAGATAATTTTTACTACTGATGATTAGTCTTATTATTAATGCAAAATACTTGGAGTAGCTCTTGATTACAATTATTTTTTTAAATTGATAGTAATATCAAACTAGTATTTTCCTTCTAATGCTAAAACAAGCTATAAAAATTACCAGTAATCACTGGAAATATTTTTTACAATTTTTTCTATCAATTTATAAATGTCTTGAGTGAAGAGGAAAGTCTGTTTTCTTACCAAAGATTTCTTTATGATATCTACTAATGTGTTTTGACTTCTATGAAACATTTCTGAAATATTTTTAATGGTTTAAACATTTCAATTTCTGTAAAATAAAAAATCGTATTTTTTTTACAAAATTTTATACGATGAAGATATCTGATGACCTTATCAATGACAGTTATAAAAAAATTTACTGGATTAGTTTGTACTCTTAAACTTGTTACGAATTCAATTTTTATAAAACTTCAATAATAATGTATATATACATTGTTTTAATAACTTTAAAATATCAGTGCACAATTATCCAATAAAGCTCAAATTCACTGTTTAACAATTTAGTAGTTAATATAGAGACTTAAAGTATTAAATGTCAAGCTATTGTTTTGTTTTGAAATGGAAACTAGAGTAATTTTAATTTCAATTTTGAAATTTTATAACAATAATCTTTTTAATAAAAACCTTAAAAGGTTCACTTTTAAAGGTTATCCTCATATAACCCACAAGTATAAGACTCTGAAAGTAACATTTTTACATTATTAAAATAATGTTAGATAAAGTCACCGAATAATCATGAAAATTTGAAAGCAGATAAGACATTTTGAATTACAGAGAAATATCACTATGACTTTTTCAAATGTAAACCCCTTGAAAAACAACAAAACGATGTGAAAACACAAAATTTTGTATCATGTAACTGGTTAAAACGAAATATAAGACAGCATACAGAGATAAACTGTACTATCCTTTTATTATTGGAATCCTTCCAATTTTTTTTTTCAAAGAATCATATAAAACAGATTTAACCCTACATTGTTTTAATGCTGAAAATGTTTGCATTCATAATAGCACTGTAGTGTAACAAATCTTAAAATTTTGAGCTTTTATTATCATGTATGAATGAAACCAATTCTTACTATTTTTATGTAGTTCTTTACTACAAAACAGTCTTGATCTGTGTGATATTAACTATAAAACAGTTTGCAAATAGACAAACTTAAACTCTACTGGTATTACTATTTTTTAAATTATAATTTTTTTAAATGAAATGAAACTGTAAAATGAATGTAAATCCAATGTTGAACATTAAGTTTTTTGGCAACCTATGTAACTACTATGCAGTTCTGATTATGAAATATTTCTATAGTAAAAACTTCAACCTGCAACTCTTTTGTCTTAGAATATATAATCATTTATAATTAAGATATTCTTTATACTTTCCACTCAAGAAGTGGAAATTATTTCAAATCTCAATTCATTAAGGTGTTTTAAGCTACCTAAAAGACACATTTTTGGTTAATGGCAAGAAAAATACATTAATTAGATAGCATATTAATTCACCTTTTAATCAAAAAACATTTAATTTGAAAATTTTCAATATATAAACAAATAGCAATGAAACCATAATAATTAATTATTTTTTTGCATCTTTTAAGGAATAATATGCACTCAAAGATTTTCTGATCAAGTTTCCAAACACTTAAGACAATTTCATACTAAGGTCTTTAAGTTTCCCAGGCAAATCTGGTAAGTTTAGTTATCTCGGAATATTTTCACAATATTTGTAAAATACATACAGTAAGATAAATGCACTTCACACAATAAGGTAATGATCTAAATATTTTTTTATACTTTATAGGAATAAACATACATGGTAATATAATTCAGACATCTCCAGAAATAACCAATTCTGATAAAAGTTACAATTTGAACTTTTCAAGAACTACTAAGCTAATAAGAATCATTGTCTTGTACAAAGAAGTGATAACCAAAACTACAAGAATACTGATGAAATGTTTAAAAACTGTATATTTAATTTTGGTGTATTATGAAAACAATTACAAAGAGTTTTGCCATTATTTACAACTGTACTGGTTTTTCACTTTTAATAATTTTAAAGTATGTTTTGTTGGACATAAGTCTGTCCCAAAAATGTACACTTGCAGGATTTTCTTTGCCAAAACTTTGATAACATATTACTAACACAAATGGTGGCAGTTATTCTACTGTCTACTGGTTAATAATTCACACCATTTATATACTGTAAAAATTTAAAAAGATTCACTCTACCTTACTCACATTACTAAAGAAATTAGAAGTTCTTGGAAAGAGGTGAAATGTTTTTTAACAGCTAACACTTGATATTAAATTTCTACCCAAAGTAATTCAACTTTATACATAAATTCTTAGAAGAACATATCTGAGTTGATGAATATTTTTTTTTATGTATAAAATATCTCCCTAACTTGATTGTATTTCAGTTTCTTCCAAAGTCTATTGTACTTTACCTGGCATGTCTGGTAATATTTACAATGTTAATGCTCAATTTTTCATTATTATCATTCTAATAAAATACAGAGACATAATTACAATTCTGTTCATAATATTCTCTGTAAAATATTTTTTTTAATAACATTAATGATTAAAAATCTAATCACAGGTTTCCTCAAGCCTATTAAACCTATATGCATGTCACACAAAATGCCATTCAACATATTATGTATTTAATATCAGAGTTATCAACTCTTCATTTTACTCTAGTTTGCTAATGTAGTGACAGTTCATAGTAGAAGAGAATAAATATCATTGCCAGTATACATGAACACTAACTGAAAATAACTGTAGATGTGCATTTCAACTGTTCAAAGGACAAAAGTATTTTTATTCTTCATGAAGAACATCACTTTGCACTCCAATTTGTTAGAGTCCAAGTCAGAGTGACATCAATTCACATATATATCTGAAGTACCAATACTTTTGTAACACATTTGCTTATTTAAATACAAAAGATTTGTACACTTAACTAAAAGCTTGCCACATTTCACGTACACACAATGGACCAATCTCATGTAGATTCAGTTAAACTAGCTGCAAAAGAAAAACGTATTTCATTCAACTTTTTTTATTGTTGACATTTTTGAATGTTTATTTTCAATGCTTGAGACCACAAAATCAGGAAAACACGAGTCTAACTCTGATGAACCAAGAATTAAAAATAGTCTTGTGTATTGATCAGAAAAAATGTTCTAATTATTTACATAATCACCATTATCCACTTTCATTATGAAGATGCATGTCATAGGTCTGAAAGTAATTTTTAAGCCAATATCTATATAGAAAATTTTCAAATATTTAAATTATCCTGAAAAAAGTTTCCTAAATATAACATAAAACATTTCTTTTTTAGCATATATATATAGTCCCTCCTTTCATATATATAGTATGATTAAAATAATGGTTTCATGCACAATAATTAATACTTGAGTCAGTTACTACATTCATAAAATCATCATATTTTATTTAAAGTATTTCATTAGATATACACATGATACAAGTGTAATTATGCATCTAGTAAAACAAAAGCGTGGTCAAAAGTATTATGATAATTATTTATTATTACTATAAATTTATTTCTACACATATTTTGACAGGTGTGATAAGACAAGTTTGAAACTAATTAACCATTAAAAAAGCTGTGTTAAATGATACTGATGTGCAGTAACAGTTGGAAGCAAACTCTGACACTTTTACATCAATACAAAATCCTAATCTTCACTAATGAAACATAAACTTAGAAGAATGTAAATAAATTCTGTATTATAGTAATATATAAAACTACATTAAAGCTTTTTTCCACAAACCTCAAAATTTTGGAATTTGTTTATAATGTACTAATAAGTTTCATCTTTTGAGGGAGAGGTCTAACACAATTCTTTTTTTTTGTTACTATATAAACTTTTATGTTAAGGGAGTCAACTGTATAGCTGGATCTTCTAAAGGACTGCTGATTCTTTAGCTCTTGAAATTAACATTTCTTTTATGTCTATAAAAGTTAGAAATGTTATATTGTTGTGTTTAATTTTACATAATATGTGCCTCCAAAATGATTAAAAGCAAATAACAACAAAATCATTTTGAATTAATTAAGCTTGTGATTTTGTATGAAGCTTGTGTTCAAGTCTATACTCTGTGCAAAGAAAACTAATGTTCAATATTTGAAAAAAATATATAGATGAAGGGGTTTTTTAAAAAAGTAGAAATAAGAAAATGACACTAAAACAAAAAATTATGTATATAAAAAGTGATATAGTCTATCGTAAAACATACTGAGAACATTATTTGTTTTTTTTATTACACACACACACATATATATGCAGTAACAATTTTACATGGTGCACTATGAAGACATGCAAAATCTTTCAACAGGACAAAATGAAAGTAAGGTAGTATATTCACTTTTCAAATTAAGAATTTCTTAGTTATGTTTTTGTAACTTACCAATGAAATGTTATGCATAAAAGTTATTAAACATCACAAGCTTTCAAAATATAATACATTGTACTTAAAATATGATGGATATAAGCTTTAACTCACTGTAATTGGTAGCTCTTTGCAAAATGGATATTGAATAAATGTATGTTTACACAGTTGTAAGGCAATATAATTGAGTGCCAGGGATGGACAGTAATCCTCTTCTGCTTTACTCATGTTAGTCCGGAAGAGTACAGTCCAGTACAAACATACTTATGAAGCAATATACCGTGAGGATGAATCTGCGAGCATTCTTGTGGAAAACCCCATCTCAACAATGAACATTAGAGACCTGTGAGATCTAATGGTGTAGATGTTGAATAAAAGTATATATGGACAGGTACCACCTGCCACAGTAAAATCCAGAATCAGTAGAAATGATTGGGACATAGGAGAACATAAGTTTCGTAGTATAGGATGCGATGTACAAGGAGCAGGAAGATAAAAGATTCAAAGGGAAGAAGGGAAAGGGCATGGAAGACAACAGTGAGATTCCAATCCGACAATTGAGTGAAAAGAGGAGGACATTGTAGATGCATAAACCAAAACCTAAGAAAGTAATAGGTGAGGAAAATACACTGTGATAGAGGGAAATACCAGCAATAGTCAAGACAGACAGACCCTTGCAAAACAACCAAGTACAGAATACAGAATGATAAGGAATGGAAGGTGATAAGGGAGAATATCTAACGTCAAAATATGTGTCACTTACATTGGTACACGGACATGGATGAGGAGCGGACTGTATGAGAGAGAGGAGACACTACACGTGTGGAAAGTCCAAAACCCCTCAATCTGGACAAAGTAAAGAATAAGCTTCTTTTGAAATGCCTCAGGAGGATGGTAGAAAGCCTCAGACAAAAGGTGTATGGACAACAAATAACATAGGAGCATGGTCAATGATAAATGAAAGCATGCAAACTGAATCTGTGAAAAATGAACATATGTGTCGGGGTCTGAACCCCAAAGATGAAGTGAATCCAACTTTTAGCCATACTAACTGTGTGGCATATTAACCCCCAATCATAACTGATTCACAAAGTACTCAGAAGTAGGTACTTCAGTTAACAGTGAAGGAGAGGGGTCATAAAACACAGATCACAATGACAAATCGTACCCGTGATATTAATTCCAAAAATGAGGAAGAATGTCTACGCATTCTATGGATAGTGAGCGAGATTGCACGGCAAAGGAAGAGGAAGGGCTGTACAAGTCCTCGTCTCCCAGTTTCAAATCCCCAGTGAGGGGGAGGGGGTGATTGCCTGTTAAGGCTGTACATATAAAAACATACACAAAAAGCACGCATGTTAGACTTATAAGGAAAATAAAATGTGCTTAAAATGGCCTGGTATATCGCACCCAAACCTTATGTAGAATACTAAATAAGGTATTGTGAAGGGTATAGGGGTATTGAAAAGTTGATTTGTTACTTCTGTATTTTATATAAGCTAAGAAACATCATAATTCTGGTGTAAATGATGTTATTATTACCCCTTGAAGTTAGTTTTCTTACAAATATCTAGTGTCCCTTTAAAAAGCTTAAGTACACGGTGAAATAGGAATTAAACAGTCTAGAATAGATGAACATTAGATGACCGAAACAGGTGGATACTCAATACTTTGTATACTATACAGTCTGTGTCTGTAATGAGCCAACCTCAATATTATATATGAAGTGAAGAAGTGAAAAAACAAACAATACACATAATATTAAATTTTATTATACACATTCATAGAATAATTACTTTAAAAGACATGGTTTATTTAAAGCACTCAGTGGAGTTTTTGTTTTAGTATAGGCATATATTTGCCATTGCTATGCATTATGTATAGAGAATTGTTACACAAAAACTATAAGTGCTTACTATATTCTCAAACAACTTTCCATGATGATCTCCAGCTGCAGATTAACATTCTACATCTCAAAGTAATGCGATCAAATACCCAATAGCTACAGTAAATCGTAATGAACCATATCAGATAGCTACTAGCTACGTTTATTATCATTACAATGTATAAATTTAGCTACCATATCAAGTATTCCTTAGCCCATAGTTGAGCATAAAAAAAGCCAGCAAACAAGATAAATAATAAATTGGAAATTTAAAAACCTGCAAATAGGGATCATATAAAAAGTAAGGAAACAAGGCTGTAGATACTGTAGACATTATTTACTCAAACTACAAACCTCTATTCTGACTCCACCAAATGTAATTTTAGGTAACATGTAAAAGATAAAATAAGAGTTTGTAGTTTGAGTAAATAATGTCTACAGTTTCTCCAGCTTTGTTTCCTTACTTTTTTATGATCCCTATTTGCGGACTTATAAATTCCCAATTTTTTATTTATTTTGTATATATATGTAAGTACAGTAGGTATTCTTGTATTCATAAGGCACTCTATAATTATTTAGAGTGACAGATCTTCTTTCTGCAGCTTTACCAATCCCTCCAGGTTTCATATTTTCCAAAAAGTATTCAACTTTTGTTGCTTTCCGAGTTCTATCCAACTATAGCATTTATGTAAAATTTAGAAAAGAGTTTTGGAGGGGTTTCATACAGCTGAGATATGAACAAAATAAATATATCATATGCACTACTAAACTATTGAACCAATTAAGCACTTGTACTAATAATCACAGAACTCACTACACCATGAAATTTGAATTTTAGAATCTAGAACTAGGCCATATGAAATATAACAAACTTTGTATGATAGAATAAAAATAAATAAGATTATAATTAACTCGGTATTAATTTTAGTAATTCCAAGTTCATAAATTAAAATAACCAGTGACAATGCCAAGACTTTAAAGTTCAACTTACCTTTGTTTTAACTTGACTGCATAAAATCATTTTGTTATTACGTTAACATTTGGCGTAAGAAGAATAAGACAAAAAAAAAACAACAACAAGGTAAATCTGGCACAGTAATGTCAGTGTCACTCGAAAATAACAAATATTGCATTAGATTATAGAAATAGAATAATAAATATATCAACTAAATGAACTTTGTTGATAAACATTCTAAAAGCATACACAGCCAGATAAAGAAAACAACTCTAAAACGGAAGTTCGAAAGTTAAAAGAAATATACTAGGGTACACTCTGTCGCAACAATTATTCAAGGCCCAGTCTTTAAAAGATTTTTAGGAACTCGAACCATACCATAAATTTCACCGACGCTGCCATTTTTACGAAACTCTCGTATATTCACGTGTTCAACAATATTTCACGATATTATTGGTTTACTACGTTAGTAAATCAATTTAGGGGTGGTCTCTCATTTCGTGATATTAAATAATAACTTATAAAACGTAGTGCATATTTGAGAAGCAAAAGTTGTTTGAAGGCTAATATATAGTAGTATTTATAGTAAAACGTTTTAAAAAGAAATTAACCCTGAAACCTTGTAATCCTTTGACAACTGGTAACCTTGAAACTGTCCCCTGGATTTGCAAGTCGGAGAAGCTAAAGATGGCGGATGTGAGAGAAGATATGGCTCAAAGCCGAGCGCGAAGACAGACACAAGGAACTCCTGGCAGCCAAGAAGATATTCAAGAAGGGAGCATGCTTGATGAATTTGATCCTTTTTCTGGAGAGACCGACATATTCGAAGAAAATGTCAACATATCTCTTACAGCACCACCACAGTCTCAGTAAGTTTTTTTTTATTTGTGGGCTAAACAGTCTTATTAATGCTTCTGCTCAGATCATAGTAGTACTACTACTACTACTATAAGTACACGTACTAATGTCATTGTCACTATTGGTATAGCGTACTACGAGTTATAATTGAGTTATTTTGTTTGTCTGATGTATGGTTAACTAGTAATATTATAATTTATAAAAAATATACTTTTATAGTACATTTTGACAAGTGTTGTCGAGTGACCATACCAATCTGACAGTTATTCTTTACAACACTTAAACTTAGCATGTATAATCTGTTATGAAAATCTATATTTTCTTTTTTTCGTGTGGACTGGATTAACCATATCGATATTAGTAGTAATTTGTATAATGGATTTAGCAAAAATTCATGTACAGCATATCTACTGCATCATAATCTCACTGCTGTACTGTAATGCTGGGTAATAATGATACATCAGGGTCTTTTTTTTTTTTGGCTAACTTGCATGCTCTAAATCTTATTAAGGAAAAGCACTAGTGATAAAAACAGTTAACATTATTTCATCAAAACCAGCAGTTGCATCCCTGATGAAAAGAAAAAAATTCTAAAAGTTGTCAAGTGTTTTGAGAGAGAGAGATTGTAGTCTGTTTGGATTGAGTGGGAAGACTGTTAATAAAATCTGGAATACTTTTTTTATAGTTTGGTAAAAAAAGTGTATTTCTAGCAAATATTTACGTTCCAACCAAAAACTTTTTTTTAGGTAATTGAATAGAATAATTCAATTTCTCATGTACAGTATGAAAAATACATGGTTTATAGAAAACCATGAAATTTCACTTTTAGAATGGAGGAAGCCAAGATTTATAAACTATATGGCAGAAAAAAAATTGAGTCTAAGAGGGATTATGTTTCTTAATATAACATCAGTCATCAATTAGACCCTTATTGTTTTCATACTAAAAATGTGAATATTAGTTTAAAGTATAACACTCTTCATTTTGACGAGTTAACTTCTGAATAGTTAAAAAATGTTATGGTTTTATCTTCTTTTGAGCTATTTTTTTTCTTTCTGATGTGATTCCTCAAACTTAACCTTTTTAGAGAGTCAAAAATAATACTGGTATTTTAAAATATTTTGGTAGAAGAAAACATGTTTTTTTTTAAACAGTAATGTAACATACAGATAACAAAAAAGTATTTGGTCTGTTAGGGATATTTTTGTACAGTCACCCATGAGAAAAGTATAAATTTTTAAATCTACCTTATGTTATTCAGAAACTTGTCAGTTCCTCACTTTAAACTCATGTAAAGTGATGGTCTGCACCATGTAGGTGGCATCTTATTCTATAAGTCAATCACCCTGTTAGAAAAATAAAATTGTCTTAACTAGAAGCTTAATCTGTTTTTTCCAAATTTTAACTTGTGTCCCTGTGCTCTGTTACCTTCAGAATATGGCACAAAGAAATCAGACTTTTATCCAGTGAATCCCTATATAATCTTTTAAATTTCAGTAAAATCACATTTTACCTCTCTTATCTCAGGAAAACTAAGATATTGTAACCTATTCCACCAAATTAAAAACACCTCAAACCAGCCCTTATCATTCAAATATTTATGAAGCCTTCCTTTAAACTCCCTTAAATTTACTACATCCACCACATTTTGAAGGCACCCCTTCCAAAGGTCAATTACAATGTAAAAAAAGTAAAACTGTCTTAGCAGAAGATGACCTCAAAATTGCCAGAATTTGTGAAACTAATAAATCATTTCTTTGATGTCAATCTGAAACATAACTTCAGATAAAGATGACATAAAGGCTATTTGACTCACCAAGGTAGTACTTGAAACTATTAAAACAACCTTAGTTAAAATTAAAATCAAGTCTATCGCAAATCTAATCATTCATATCTATATAATTATCCAACATATGTTTAAAAGGATTTAAAATAAAGCACATATCACATTATCAGGCACACCATTTCTTTATCCAGGTATCATTGAAAGTAGCCTGTCGCTGAGCCTTTTCCAACATGTTGACATCCTGTGAGGCCTAATAATAAGCATTTTGTTCATAAGCTCAGAAATCTTATAATTAGAGTAACATTTTCAATAAAACTGCCTGTTCCCAGCTTGTCAGCAACAAAGCAAGGAAAATATTGAACTGCTATAGTGTATTGACCACCATTATTTTTAACCTTATGTTGGTTTAACTTCTTACAATATATAATTAGTGCTAGCTATATAATAGTTCTGTATAACATTACATTGTTACACAAGTTACATAAATTTTAACTAATTAATTTAATTGTACTTACCATTGTTGTAACTCCCTTTTCTAATTCTTCTTATTATTACTGAATTTTTCATCATAACTTACTAAGTTGTTACTAAAGGTTTAACTTTAATAATTACTTCCTGTTGCTCGATCCAACTGTTTTGTTAAGTAATGGAGATTAAATATATCTCGTAGTATGTTTAACATACTGTTTTTTCTTATTATTACATTGAACATGGTTGTATACTCTTTAGAGTACCATTATTCCAGATATTTATTGTGTGATTCAAGTATTTGATTTAATTCCTTATTTCTTATTATTCATTATTTTCTAACTTCATGAACATTAGTTTTGGGCTGTATTGTTGGTACTCTCCTAAAACATCTCAACAGCAAAACAGTAACATGTGATAGTAAGTTATCTCAGGTGTTAAGAGTCCTCTAAAATTACACTGCCATAACTATTTAAATAGGTATCAAAATATAGGAAAGAGTACAGTTATTTCTGACTGAAATTATTTAAAGTATAAGTAAGGGCTTAGTTTTGAACTTGTTTTCTCTGAAGAGCAGAAGAACTGGGTAGGAAACTTGATTATGTGTTTCAAATTTGGCTGTGAAAAGATTTGTGCATTTCAAACTGATTATGAAAGAATTTCAAGTTATATTTTCTTAGGTTTGGTGTCTAAAGATGACTCTAGACTTAAAGCATTTATTTATTCTAAATTATTTTATAAAAATTTGGTTATTTTTAGGTGGTATCATGGTCGGCTTGATCGTATCACAGCTGAACAACGACTTCAAGTGGCAAATAAATTGGCTAGTTACCTTGTGCGAGAAAGTGACCGCAGACCTGGATCTTATGTTCTCTCCTACTTGGGTCACACTGGTATCAACCATTTTTAGGTAGTTTTTTTTTTCGTTTAGCATTTTTATCTTTTAATGTAACATAATGTACTGAAAGAATAAAGTAAAACATGTAATTATATTGTATTGATGGAAATAATCTTATAATTGACACAAAAATTTAGTTTCTTGTAATAATTTTATTTTGATTGTATTTAAACGTTAAGTTTTGTTTATATATATATATATATATATATACACACAGAATTACAGCTGTTTGTGGAGATTACTATATTGGTGGGAGACAGTTTGATTCTCTTTCTGATCTTATTGGATACTACACTAGTTGGTCTGACTTGCTTAAAAAGGAACGACTTGTTCATCCAGTGGCACCCCCCGAGGTAAGTCTTAGGCACAGTAAGATCTTAATTGAGATAATTATATTGTCCCCATGAGATAAGATACAGGCACAGTAAGATCCTAGTTGATATGATTGTATTGTCCCCCTGAAGTAAGACTTAGGCACTGTAAGATTGTAGTTGAGAAAGACTCAGGCATAGTAAGATCATAGTTGAGATGGTTGTATTCTTCCCATTTATACTGACATTTGTTAAATAATTTGTCATTATCAAAGTTCTGTTGCTTTTTTTAAAGTATTTTTAATGTCTGGTTTTGGCAGTTGTCATCTCCTAAATACATGTAATATATTTAATATTTCAAATTACTTCCTTCACAAAAATTTATGAATTATGTAGTAATAGTTTATAACATTGTATAGACTGTGCCATATCAGTTTTATAAGTAGATCTTGAATGAAAAGCTAGAATCTTTGTCTTTTACTAGTGCACTAAAAGCTATTTTTGAACCAAGAAAATTCAGCATTTCCAGAAATTTATAATATACCTGCCTGTATTAGTCCAGTTTTTACTTTGTATGTTTATATTTGTGTGTACTTATATTATTTGTATCCATAGCATTGGCTGATTATTATATATATATAACACAACATATCAGAAGAAATTTACTAGGTAAGTGTTATTAAAGTAGTGTACCATGCGAGTAACACAGGTATTTTTTTATTTTGAAACTTTTTTTATACTTATTGTGAAGTGAATTTTTAACCTTTGATATTTCAGCCTGTAAATGACAAGAAACGTGTTGTTGCAGTACTTCCCTATAGCAAGATGCCTGATACAGATGAGATAAGGTTTGTGTATTTTTATCTAGAACAGCACATGTTAACATAATCACTGCCGAAGACATACATCTGTGCATTTAGCATTCGTTGTTGGTGAGTGTCACAATGCACATGCATGTCATAAATAAATAAAAAAAAAATGTAAAGATTGCATGTTTTAGATTTGTTATTATTGCTATTATTTAAGTTAAAAATAGAACAATATTTCACTTATCATCATTTACCCTAGATGGTGCCAAACACCACAGCAATTAATGTGTTAAACTGTTTATATGGTCCTAAAGTAATTTTGATAATTTACTGTTTTTATAATGCTTAAATAGTTATATGCAAGGTTACCTATAACTTAGTTTTTAAGAACAGTAATATGTAACAGAAACTAGAAGCTGTTTTATGTGTTCCAGTTCCATAATTAAGTTGCATGATTAGAAATGGTGTTTCACAGCAGTGAAGAAATGTTTTTTTTTTTCAGATCCTTAACCAAGTTATGACACTAGTAAACAGGGTGAGAAACTAACTTATTCAGCCACTGGTAAATTTTTAAGTTCACTTTAAATGGTATTTACAAAAATACCAGTCATTATACTAAGAATCATAACTTGTATGCCTTTAGTGAATATAACTAGTCGGTTGACACGAATCTTCAATTTCATATTTCTTTATATTATCATATTTTACATCTATGTTTCTGATGATAATTAAATGTCCTAATATGAAATAAAAAATATATAATAAAAAAAACAAATACTACTTCAGCATACTGTTTTTATTTGTTGTTTTAAACACTGGGAATACCATTCAAAAATGCACAAGAGCAATGTGCAACAAGTTACCAGAAAAAGGCTTTTTGGTTGATAATTGTATTATATTTCTTTACAATATATATGTTACACTTTTTTTTTATAATGTTTACCATCACCTACAACTGGTCTGAATCATAATCATGCCTGGATTATCAACTTCAAAAAAAGTGACAGTGCCATTTATTGTTTGCTGGCTTAACGCTAACACTCAGTGTCTTTTTGCAAGCTAGCCACTGCTAGTTTGAGCCCTGGAGAATACATTTTTTGCAATTCCTTAACAAAGCCATGACATTCTTGAAAACAATTGTTCAATTTCCTTGAACAAGTTATGACACTGGAGAAGATATTTGCTTCAGTTCCCAGGCTAAGCTGTGACATTGGAAAAGTTGCCTGCATCAGTTCCTTGACCAAGCTGTGGCACTATAAAAATCATTTGTTTCAGTCTCATGAATTACATACAGGATACATATGAGCATTACTGGCTATGAACATATCACCAATATTCTAATTAATTTAACTAATTACTCCTAGGATTTTATGAAAATTTTACGTAGAAAATGAGTACTTGTGTAGGGGAAGCACATTATACTAATCTATGTAATTAAAAGAGTAATGTGCATGCATGTGTGGGAACTATGCAAAAATGAAATTGGTTGTATGGAAGTAATGACAACATCACCATATGTATATAGGAGGGATAGTTGTAAATAGTAATATGCATTGCAGATTATAAGGTATTTGGGGGAATGGATCTGTCATCCCTCTGAGCCCCTTCTCAAACAGCAGTGTTTGTGTTAAGGTCTTGTGTATGAATTTCTTCATTTGTTTATAGATATGAGAAGCTTTTTAAACTTCATTAAACTATGAAAAAAATTAAATTAGGAGTAGGGAAGTATGGACGACATAAGGTAAGGGTTGAATGTGGATAGCACTATGCATTGCAGGGGGGGGTGTATTTAATGGAGTGGATCTGTCATTCTTCAGAGCTCCATCCCAGACAACAGCGTTTATATATTGAATTTTTTTGCGGGAATTTCCTTAGTTGTTAAAAGACACTTAGAGTTCCGGTACTGTCATTCTATTGAGTTTTAATACATGTATCGATACCCATAAATCATCCCTAGATTTGATGTCTCTTAGTAGATGAGTTGATTGGTTTGCCATTTTTGATCAGCCCATTTGGCTCAAAGTATTTTTTGTACTTGTGGTTTCTGATACGATATCTTGCCTCCTCTCGCATAACAGCTTTTCTTGACTTGTACTGCCCATTTTTGCTCACCACTAGCCTTGATACTCTCACCATGTTTTCATATGAGGCAGCTGCGTAATAGCATGCAAATGAGCATACAACAAACCACCAATAGGAGTGTAATAAATCTCCTAGCACAGCTGACTCCCTCTATTCAGTTTAGCTGAACTTCACTTCTCTATTGCCACTCGTGGTGTTTAGACTTGTTGTTCAATTGAGCTTTACTCACAGAATTTCAATCGGTTACTTGTTTATTGGAGAACCTAGTTTTTTAGATTGTTACACTTCAGTTCTCTAACTTTAGTTTGTATACATTAATATTATGTGTTTTTAATAACTTTTTTTAGCTCCTTGTGTGGGTTTTCTTTATTATTTCCACTCATAGTTGTTATGAATTCAGTGTTTAATGTTTCTACTACTGCTGGACCTACAGCAGTTACCCTTACTTCATTAACATTGGTTTTAGGTCTACAGTTATCAGTGAAATACGTTATACAGCCGTAGTTCACTGGGTGTTGGCTAATTTCATGTGGGGTTCAGATTTGCTTGAAGATTATCTTGTCCTTCTTGGTACCTGAACAAGAGGATGATGATTTTGACAGCCACTTTCCTCTCCAAATATTGGGGTTCATGCCAGTAAGTATTTTTAAATTTTGACTCAGCCAGGCCAAACCTTTTCCTCATCACCTGCGATCTATGGAGCTTCTGGTTCAGACTGTTTCCTTCTCCAACTGCACAAGATATGCTATCTCTTTAGGGGATGTGGGTTTCTTTTGAGGTCTTCATTGCCCTCAGTAAAACCTACATATGACCTCTTCAGTGGGCTTTACAAGATCGGTGGAACTTTGTTTGGGACCTCTTGGACACCCCTATCCACCTCCCTTCTTCCCTACATGTGAAATTCTCCTAGTGGTTCAACCAAACAACACCACAATGAGTGTTCATCTTCATCCTCCTCTTGTTGAGGTGCACTTCTTCAAGGATGCTTCTCTTTTGGGTTGAGGTGAATATCTGGATACTCAGGAAATTTCAGGATGTTGGTCTGTAGCAGATCATTTCTGCATATCAATTTCTTAGAGCTGCTCACTGTTTTTCAAGCTTGGGTTTATTTCCTTCTGTCTCTCTAGAACTGTTCAGTTATGATACATTCTGACAACCTCATGGTTGTCTTGTACGTCATTTGGTATGGGGACACTCGGTTGAGGCCTCTTCGTTTCCACACGTCGGACTTCCTGTTTTGGGCCTACAGCCATCACATTCATTTGATGGCATGTCATATACCAGGTGCTCTGAATCTGTTGTGCATCATTTATCGTGCCTCAACGTAGTGGCCACTTGGTTGTTCATTTGGCTGTGTTCACAGTGGAGTACTTCAGAACTGGATGCATTTGCCACCCACCTGAATTCCAAGCTTCCCAGGTTTTGGTCTACTATTCCTCATCCTCTGCCTGTGACTACTGACGCCTTCAGTCAGGATTGGGGGGACCATTACCTTTATGCATATCCTCCCATCTGTTTTCTTTCTCCTGTCCTCACTGTCATACAAGCTACTCCATGTCAAGTACTCTTGGTGGTTTCACTTTGGCCAGTGCAGCTGTGGTTTCTATATCTGCACTTGCTACAACTGACACCTTCTCTTCCGCTGTCACCCACCTTTCTCAGGCAACCTCATTCAGGCATGAAACATCCTTTTTTTTCCAATGCTTTGCCTTCAGACATGGTTTTCGTTTGGTTCTTTGCCAGATTTCAATCCACCCTTTCTCAGTGTCAGTTTACCAGTGTAAGTGGTATGTCTGCTGTTGCTGGTCCTCTTGTTATGGTTTTCCTCCATCCTGTTCTACTCTCTTGCACTTGACTTCCTTCCTTATCTGGCTTTTCAACAAGGGGCTGTTGGTATCCACTACTGCTGGTTATTGTGTGGTATTTTCAGCCACCTCCCGTTTCACAAGATTTTGCGTATCTTCACTTCTCTTTTATTTATCACCCTTTTATTTTGTTCCTTCCACCTTTGCTGTTCCCTACCACTCTACCTGATTGGAACCTCAGTGTCATCCTCTATGTCCTCATTCTTCTTCCTTTTGAGCCCATGTCTTCCTGTTCCTTGTATCATCTCTCCATAAAGACTTCTCTTGGTGTATGGATGTTGATGTTCAGATTTGTTCACTCTTGATGTCTCTTGCACATTATATCACCAGTCCTTTGTCATCCTCTACCCGGATCGGTCTTTCCTGCCCAAAACTTCAGCTGCATGCAAGGGCAAATTTGCCTTCATTCACATTTTCCTTCGTTTAATTTCTCACCTTTCTTCTCATTCCGATCCAGGTTGCCTATTACGTCCTGTCCAGTCTCACTGCTGTTACATGATTTGCACTGCTCCCTTCTGTGGTTCCTATTCCCATTTGTTTATTCATTGGAATCCTTCCTTTTCCTGTGATATTTCTCCTATTACCCTTATAGATTGGATTTGCCAGCTGATTTGTATGGCTTATTTTTCTCTTTCTCCTATTGGTTGTTGTCTGTTGCAAGTCTCCTTCCATCAAATTCATCTCCTTACCATGCCCCTGGCTGCCCAATTTTATCGTCTCTTAGAAGATATAGTTTGTCCTGGCATATGGACCATTCCCCATACACTTATCACACATTATCTGCATCATCTGGCCATTTCCTGCTCCACAGGTTACCATCTACCTCCAGTTGCTGTCTTAAGCTCCCTGGTTTCTCTATGAGTTGGTAGGTTCTCTTTTTATACTATTCTTTTTTTACAGGAGCCTTTTTCACATATATGGATCTTGCTCAATGATGAGTGTTGCTTGACTAGGTATACTTATTCTGAAACCCACACTGTATGGCCATTCAGGTCAATAATGCTCACTGTTGAGCTGGTGTGTTCAACAAGACTGCTTGTAGGTTTTCTCACTGTGTTTTGTGTCATAAATATGTTCATCCTGGACCATATA